GGATGGTACAGGACAGGGCAAAGTTCAGGTCTATTACTCACAGGGTTTCTATATGTTGCAGTCAACTTGATGGCATCTAACAACTGCAACAATACAGACTAATAGGTACAGAGAAAAGATACAACTTTCCCACAAACTTTTCATATTTTCCAACTTTGTTCTGTCTGAACAAGTGCTTCTTGTTCAGTGTATAAGTTTTGCATGAGTACAATTAAGTTGCACTATACCCATTCTTCTCAATACTAGTCATAGTTTTTTATGATCTACACAATCAAAAAAACGTAAGTAATCATCTTACTAGTATTCTTTCCTTTCAGCCAAGAACGAATTGACATCAGCAATAATATCCTTCAAATCACCACCTCTTCTGAATCCAGCTTGAATTTGTTAGTTCCCTCTGGATGTAGTGTTCTAGTCATTTTTTTAATTATCTCCAGCAAGATTTTACTTGCAGATGATATTATGTAATACTTTCCACATTTTGTTAGATCATACTGGTTTGCTTTTTTTTTTTTTTGAATGGAAACAAATATGGATCTCTTCCAGTGAATTTTCCAGGTAGCTGTCTTCTAAATTTAATGTATCTAGTTAACACAGTCTAGTGCAGATGTCTTGAACACAACCAAATACCTCATGGGATTTGGTTCCTTGGTTTGGTGTTCTAAGACCATGGATTCATGGGACATCTTAGTTAAATGGCCTAATGACATATTTATTGCACAGGAGTGGCATCCACTTCCTAAACAACATGTCTCCAGAAACGGTATGAACTTTGATAAATGCTGATAATTGTAGAGGGGCTTCAGGCCTTTTGTTCATAGGGTCGCTATGAGTACTGCTCGACTTGAAAGCAATCAACAACAACAGCAACAACGAGTCTACCTTCAAGTTCATTATCTAGTCTTGAAACGTTGCAAGCAGTCTTCCAAGGCACAAAACTGATCTCATTTGACTAGGAACAACAAGAGAAGAATGAGAGTCAGGAATAGGAGGATGATATGGAATAGGTGGCTAGTTAACTGCCTCTAAGAAAACGGTTTATTTTGTCACAAGATCAGAAGAACTAGATAACACCCAGCCACCATCACAAAATATTTGATTACAGGACCCATAGAAAAATCTTGATCAAAAGGGATAATATTCTCATAGACTCAGATTTTTGAGCTGGGGGTGGGGGAGCAGCAGAGATGAACTCCTGAAACCACTGCCATAAGAGAATCTTTCAATCTTAAACCAAAAACATCCTCTGAAGTAATTTTAAAACTAAGTAACAGACTACCTTAGCTATTTAAAAAATCTCTCTCTTGAGCATTACACTCTTTGAAGAACTATCTGTATGGAGCCAAACTGACAACAAAACCTCAAAACCTTAGATAGGAACTTCTTTAGAGGAAAGTCAGTTTATATTATTAGGTGAAGAGCAAGTCTGAAAAGGAGGATGAGAATGGATGTACAAATTCAAGTATATAATCATTGTCACTAAATTTTACTTGTATAAACTATTGAATTGGTTTATGTTTTGGTGTACATACACAGACAATAACAAATTAAATAAAAATTTAGAGAAGGAAAACAGAGCTGAGAAACTGAAAAGAAATTCAGTAAATATTCCTATAAGTCCTTTTTATTGCAAAGGTCCAATGTTGTTGGACATCATCTTTTGAAGATTTCATGGACTCACTAACTCACTTTGAGTCAGTTTCTACTAAGACCAAAGGCTGAAAATGACAATAGGATGAGACTGTTCATCTTACTTTCAGAGTCACTGGTATATTTAAACCACTAGATAGGTACAGCCTTTGGATTATCAGCACAACTCCCTACGAACTAAACCACCAGAGCTCCCTTGAAAGATTGCTTTGCAAAACACATAATTCATTAAACTGTATAAATCTTAAATAGACATGTTTTGGTCATATGAAAAAACTATTCCAGTATTACACAAAAATATAATTATTGCTTGAGAAAGTTTTCCAGTAATAGCATTATATTAATTGCTGAATTTTTACAAAGATGTTCTTTACACCGCTTTGCTACACACCAGAATCTTGGCTCAAATAATCAGGTAAACTTTCAACACTGATAGTTTGCAATCTATCAAAAATACCCAGCAGAGTTCTCTAACACTTATCTTTATAAACATGAGCAAACACTTTGTTTATGATGACACACTATACACAAAATTATACTGATTTTAAAAACATATATGTAATGTGCTGCAAAGGACTCATAACTAGTTTGTACATAAATATACTCTTTATTCTCACTATATGTCTCATGAAAAGGACTAGTGGAATAAGTAATTTTGTATGTCCCCACATTACTCTTATCCTAAACAGTAGAGAAATAATAGCTAACAATACCGAAAGAAATATACACATAAATCATTTTTTTTAATCATTACCACAACTCTATGAGATAGTTATGATGCAGGTTTTTAGTAATGTAGTAATGGGAGCTGTTAAGGCCCATAAACATTTCTTAATACTGAAATCTGTGACCTCTATCTTGAATATTCTGGGGTTGGTTTTTTTGATGTTGTTGTTTTAGTTGGTTTACAGGGTTTTGGGGTTTGTGGTGTGTTCTTCTCTTTGTTTGTTTGTTTTTAAGATTTAGCCAGCTATCATAAACTAATTCTGGCTTGCAATGGAAGGTGGAAGTTCAAGCCCACCCATAAGTACCTTGGGAAAAAGGCCTGGTTATCGACTTTGAAAGTTATCAGGTACTGAAAACCTACTGTAGCACACCTCTACTCCAGCACACATGGGACTACCTGAGTGCTCAGGAGCCATACAGGCTTTTGGCAATTTTAAAGGGTTTATTAAAAGGTTTTCTCCTTTTGGTTGCTTTAGACCTCCTGCTTGGTATGCATCTCATTTGAAATGAAAGTATCAACTGACACAGATTCATTAAAATGTATGCACACCACTGCTGGCTTTTCATTAAAACATTAGTAGTATGAGACACTACTGTTTTATGTACTGTGGCTCATGGTAATATGACAATATGGCATTTTGGTTAATCAGTGTCACCAGACACAGTATGGAAGACACAGAATGGCTGATGATAAAATCAGAATAGAAGGGACTAGATAATAGATAATAGACCATAAAGATTATTAAAGGTGACAGAGAGATTAGTACACACTGACAATAGTGTGAAGACCAGATTTGACTACATGGTAATGCAGGCATAGCAACATAAAGGAAGAAGATTTAGAAAGATCTGCATTTGGATCCTTTGCTGTCAGGTTGGAATCAACTCATAGCTGGCCTTCTGCTGCTTTCTGGGTCTGTTAATCACACAAGAGGAGATTGTCCATCTTTTTTCCTCAGAACTACAAAATGATTCAAATCACTATAGAGGTATGTGCTTGAGTTTGGAGCAGAACTACCTAAGGACTACATTAACAGAGCTCCCTTGAATGTGTGTGCTAAAGGGAGGGAATAACCAAAGATGATTCTCAAGTTTTAATTTGAATGCTGGGGTAGGTAATGATGCTCTAACTGAGAGAAAAAAATTATAGAAAATACTTCACTGCCATCAAATAGAATTCAATTCATAATGACTAGCCTGTAAATCTTCACAGGACGAAACAGCTCATCTTCCTTCTAAACAGGGACTTTTGTTGTTATATGCCATCAAGTTGGCACTAACTCAACGCTGACCCTCTATCAGGTTTTCATAGGCAGTAAATAGGATGGAAAGAGATTGCTCATCTTTCCCCTGAAGAACAGCTGGTGGATTGAAACTGCATACCTTTGGGTGAGCACCGTAACTCCTTACTCACTAGGCCACCCGAGTTTGATTCAAAAGACAGACCTTTCAGCATTTTGCTACCAGGGCACCAAATGAAAAACAGGCCTTGAAAATGCAGATTCATTAGTCTCTATAAATCAGTATATTTCACAGTATCTAATTTTATACACACTCTTGGTAGCAGCAGCCAGGAAACCAAAAGGTTAATTACACTGGGGAAAGCTGCTGTCAGGGACCTCTCCAGAGTACTGAAGAGCAATGATGTTATTCTAGAGACAAGGGTGCACCTGATCCAGCCCATGGTCTTCACAATTACTTGCTATGCATCAGAGAGGTGGACAATGAATGACTAAGGGTGATCAAAGAAGAATCAATGCTTTTGGGTTGTGGTGCTTGAGAAGAGTATTGAATAAATCACGGACTTCTAAGAGATCAAACAGGTCTGTTCTTGAGAGGGTAAAACTAGGCTGTTCCATGGAGGCAAGGATTTTGAAGCTTGTCTAACATATTTTGGGCATGGTGCAAGGAGTGACCAGTCCTAAGAGAAAGACATCAAGCTTGGAAGAATGTAGGGACAGCACAAGAGAGGAAGACCCAAGATGAGATGAATTTACTCAGTGACTGAGGTAATGGGGATAGATATGTCAGAGACAATGAATCTGGCTCAAGACAGAGCAGAGTTCAGAGTTGTTGTACACAGGTTTGCTAAGAGTTGGAGTTGACTTGACAATAAAAATTTTATATAGGAAAAACTGATTAAGTGAATACTCTTGAGTAAACATCAGAAGCCATACTCAAACCTCCTGCTGCCTAGTCTTGTACAGGTGCAATTAGAAAACAATACCTTTTTCTAAGTCCCTCTCTGTTTTCTTCAAGAACAGAGGAATTGAAATCAGGTATTTTTGGATTTTTTTTTATTTAATTGGTAATTATGAAGCAATCTTTGGTATTTTTCCTTTATTCTTATTTGCTGTTGTCTTTTTAATTTTGTAAAATGTTTTCTGAGTGTAAATTTAGAAATCACAGTGGTTTTGCATATAATCATTCACAATTTGTTTTATAACATTATTACTGATTCATAATTAATTAGCTGTTAATACTTAATCAATACCTTATTGTACAATGCCTTTCCCTCATCCAACGTCTCTATTTATTAATTAATCAGTAATTTATCTTGCATATATTAACACAGTAACAATTAGGACTATAAAGATTTTACAAAATAAGTTTCGAATACTTACTTCAAATTCTTTCACAAAATAACGTGTTTCACCTTGAATAACTGGTCTGTGATCTAAAAGCCGTGAATGAATTTCTCCAAGATCTACAATGATAAAATAAATTCAGGGTTAATCCATATTAAGTGTTGTAACATTTAGTTTATTATCATTTGTCCTTATGGATCTATGAATGTGAAAACCCAGTTGAGGTTTTGAATTAACAACCTGCATTATGCAAATAACACAACCTTGCTTTAAGAAAGTGAAGAAGACTTGAAGTACTTGGTGAAGATCAAAGACTACAGTCATTTGAACACAAAGAAAACAAAAATTTGGAGCAACAGGCAACACCATGACTGATGGAGAAAGACTGGAGTTGTCAGTGATTCCATCTTACTTGGATTTAAAATCATCACCCACAAAAGCAAAAGTAAAAAAAAAATCTTTGGGCAAATCCACTGTCAGGGACCTCTCCAAAGCACTGATTCAAGTCAGTATTTTCAATTGCTTACTCTGTATTAGAATGTTGTTGTTGCTGCTTGCGACTCATAGTGACCCTATGTACAAGAGTCCTAAACGCCATTCTATCCTGTGGCAACCTAGCCATTTCAAATGCACTCATTCCCACCACTCCAGTCATAGAATCGATCCATCTCATTGAAGGTCTTCCTCTCCTTCGCTGCCCCTCCACTCTGCCAAACATGATGGCCCTCTCCAAGGACCAGTCCCTCCTTGCAACATGCCCAAAGTATGTCAGACGAAGCTTCAGAATCCTTGACTCCAAGGAGCATTCCGGCTTTACCCTCTCCAGGTCAAACCTGTTTGTGCTCCTAGCAGTCCATGGTACATTCAATACTCTTCTCCAGCACCACAGCTCAAAGGCATCAATTCTCTTTCTATCATCCCTATTCACTGTCCAACTCTCTGATGCATAACACATAATTGCAAAGACTACAGCCCGGATCAGGTGCACCTTAGTCTCCAGCCTGACATCTCTTCAGTACTCTTGAGAGGCCCTCACAGCTGACTTTCCCAATACAATTCGTCTCTTGATTTCCTGGCTGCTGTTACCAAGAGTGTTGAGAGTGTTGACTGTGGAGCAAAGTAACTAAAGAGGTCGTGGTACTAGGGATATTATAGCTAGTGTTAGATGGATCTTGGCAGAAAGCAGAGTACCAGAAGAATGTCTATCTGTGCTTCATTGACTATGCAAAGGCTTTTTACTGTGTGGATTACAAGCTGTGGCTGACTCTGAGAAGAATGGGAATCCCAGAATATTTGATAGTGCTAATGTGAAACCTATACTTGGACCAAGAAGCAGTCGTCAGAACAGAGCAAGGAGACACTACATGGTTCAAAATCAAGAAGGGGGGGTCCGTCAAGGATGTATTCTGTCTCCATACCTTTTCAATCAGTATGCAGAACAGATCATCTGAGATGCTGGGCTGTAAGAGGAGGAATGTGGTATCAGGATTTGTGGAAGAGTCATCAACAATCTGTGTTATGCAGATGACACAACCCTGCTTGCTGAAACTGAGGAGGATCTGAAGCGCTTGCTGCAGAAGGTCAAGGACTGCAGCCTCCTATGTGGATTGAAGCTAAATATCAAGAAAACAGAGATTCTTACCACTGGGCCTATTGGCAGCATCAGTATGGATGGTGAAGAGATTGAGATAATTAACAGTTTTAGTTTACTTGGTTCCACAGTCAACCATTAGAACGTTCAACAATAAATATGGAAGACTAAAGAAGAATCCATGCTGTTAAATTGTGGTGTTGGTGATGAATACTGAAAAATATCCCATGGACTGCTGAAAGAACAAATAAAACTACCTTACAGGAAGTGCAATCATGATGCTCCTTAGAGGCAAGGATGGGGAACGGATATATTTTAGGTGTGTTGTTTGGAGGAAACAGTTCTTCAAAAGAGATACCATGCTAGAAAGGTGGAAGGTCAAGAAAAGAAAGGAAGATTCTCAACAAGATGGACTCACACAATAACCATAGTAATGGGATAGTGTACACTGGAGAGTGTAAGGATGGGACAGGACTGGGCTAGGTTCTGATTTTTTTTTTTCTTCACAAAGTTGCTATGAGTTATAGAACTCAATGACACCAAACAACAGCCATTGCACTTCCAATTAATGTGTAAATTGGTAGAACTGTTTATCAGGGCAATTTAATAATATGTAAAAGTTGGAGACATCATGCTGTAAGAGGAAAACAGTTAACTATATGAACTGACACAGTGATTGGAACAGAATGGGTTTGAGTGTGGCAGCGACTGTGATGATTGTACAGGAAAGGGTAAAGTTCTAATCTGTTCAGAGTTGCTATGAGTCATGGTCACCTCAAAGGCATCTAACACAAACACGACGGAGTTAGAGACAAGTATATACAGTAATTCCATGCCAAGTTATATGCCTTTGAGAAAGTCTTGCAAATGAATGAGCCAAGAATAAATGCTTATTTCAGCTTGAGTAATAGATAATTTTGGAAGAATCAAAATAGAAATAAATCATCACGTATAAGAAATCTTCAAAAAGATTAACTCTTTATGTATCCACAGAAATCATGAAAGTTTTAAAGCAATAGTTCCAAAAGAAAGTAACAGTCAACCAAGAAGTCTGTATCTGGCAAAAATGAATGATAAAAATGAGGGCAAAATGAAGGCATTCCAAGGTGAATAAAAACTAATGGAATTATGTGGAGATCTTTCCTACAAGATAAAGAAAGTCTTTATAATTTAAATGAAAGAACGTTACTTTTAGTAATTCAAAGCTGTATGTAGGATAAAAGGTTTCCAGGGAATGTTTCACGTTTAAATATTAAGATCAGTTTTATGGTATTTTTGGTTTATAAATCTACATAGGTCCTATATAATTCAAAAGACAATGGCATCAAGAGCAATTAAAATGTATGTTATCGAGAAAACAAGGCATAAAGATGAAATTATGAAGAGCGTTGTTGCATATTATTGGAGTTACTCAAACTTGTTACTGTCAAATCAAAACTGACTCATAGCTGACCCTCCAGTGAGGTTTCTGAGGCTGTAAACGGCATGAGAATAAGATTGCCTATCTTTCTCTACATGAACCACTGGCAGATTCAAACCATCAGAGTGAAGCCATCTTTGGGTTAGCAATACAACTCCCTAAGAACTGTGTCACCAGGATAAGTTAAGCTGTTAACATGTTGCCGCACACTTTTTAAAATTGATGACCGTGCTTAGAAACACATTTGCTGTCATTTGGGGCAACGTGTTAAACATTTAAAATGTTAAATACCCATCACAAACATATGCAAATATCTAAAAGTATGTAAGAAAGAAATTAAAATGGTTCTGAAAAACAGTAGTAGGCAGTACTGTTTTGGGACACTTTAATACATACCTAAATAAATTAAACACTCAAAAGGCAGAGATTGGCAGAATGGATAGGAAATGTGATCTAACTATGTACTGTGTAAAAAACATCCTTTTATAGTGGTAACTCTAGATCATGTACTTTGGTCAGGGTAAAAGAAAGTGGAAAAATATTTCATGTAAATGATAGCCAAAGGGAGCTCTACACTAACAAAATATTAGACTTTAAGTAAAATAATATGTTAGTCTGTTATTAAAAATTTAACATAGAATTACCATATCAAATAACCCAAATCCACTGCCCTTGAGGTACGACCACCCGGACTTGTGGTGACTTTCTGAAGGTGAAAATCTTAATGGGAGGAGACTATTGGTCAGCCCAGTACGTAAGATACTTTGCCAAATGACCTTGCAATTCCATTTTCTCAGTACATACTCAAAAGATTTGAAAGCAGAGACTCAACTAGATAGGTATACACCAATGTTTACTGAGATGTTACTGACAACCAAAAGTTTGGAACAACCCAACTGTCCATTAATAGATAAAAGGTGGTATATATGTATGATAGCTATTGTTTAGCCATATTGCTAGTGCATGCTATCCTATACATGGATGAACTTTACAGACATACTATTGAAATGCTTGACACAAAAGGCAAACAGTGCATAAGAGGAGAATGCAGACATAGTACATCAAAGTGTACCTGACTGAACCCATGGTATTTTCAATTGCTTCAGTTATTCCCATTCCAAAAAAAGAGATGACCTGACATAGTGTGGAAATTATCAAATATCACTAATTTCACATGCTAGTAAAATCCTGATAAAAATTATGCAAAAAATTACTGGAACAGTACATTCACAAAGAACTATCAAAATACAAGCTGGGTTTAGAAGCAGCCATGGTACTAGGAACATCATAGGCCAATGTCAAATGGATCTTGGCTGAAAACAAAGAGTATCAAAAGAATACTTGTATTTGTGTTTTATCAACTATGAAGATCACAACAAATTGTGGCTAACTCTGAGAGAAATGGGTATCCCAGAACACCTGATGGTACTCATGAGAAACCTATAGTTGGACCAGGAAGCAGTCCTCAGAACAGAGCAAGAAAACACTGCATGGTTAAAAACCAAGGAGTGAGTTAGGGATATGTTCTTTATCCATACCTTTTTAATCTATATACAGATTATTTAGGAGGCTGAACTCTATGCACAGGAATGTGGCATCAGGATTGGAGGTACACTCATTAACAACCTGCGTTATGCAGATGACACAACCTTGCTTGCTGAAACTGAGGAAGATCTGATGTGCTTGCTGTAGAAGGGCAAGGACTTTAGTTTACAATACGTACTGAAGCTCAACATTAAGAAAACAAAGATTCTCATCACTAGACCAATTGGCATACCACGACAGAGAAGAGATTGAGATTGTTAACAATTTCAGTTTACTTGGCTCCACAAACAACACTCTTTGTACTAGCAGTCAGAAAATCAAAAAACTAATTGCAATGGGAAAATGTGCTGTCAGGGTCCTCCCCAGAGTATGAAAGAGCAATGTGTCAATCTAGAGACTAAGATACACCTGATCCAAGACACAATCTTTGCAGTTACTTGCTATGCATCAGAAAGCTGGACAATGACTAAGGATGACAGAAGAACTGAGAGCCTTGAGCTGTGGTGCTGGAGAGGAGTACTGAACATAACACGGACTGCCAAAAGAACAAACAAGTCTGTCCTTAATAGGGTGAAACCAAGTAGCTCCTTAGAGGCAAAGATTTTGAAGGTCCATCTCACATATTTTGGGCATGTTACCAGGAGGGACCAGTTCTTGAAGACAGACATCATGCTTGGAAGCGTACAGGTATAGCACAAGAAAGGAAGACCCAGGAAGAGATGGAATGACACAGTAATTAAGGTAATGAGGGTAGGTGTCCTGAGACTGTCTCAGGATAGGGTAGGATTCAGAGCTATTGTACCTAGGGGTCACTATGAGTCGCAGGTGACTTGATGGCACATAACAATAACATATGTACACGAAAGTTGGACAATGACTCAGACTGAAGACAACTTGATGTTCTTTGAAATTATGATACAGGTGAAGAATATTGTCTATACCATGAACAGTCAAAAGAAAAAAAATCTGTCTTGTTTTGAAAGTATAATCAGAGGGTTCCTTAAAACGATGGTAAGACTTCATCCCATAAGCATTAGGTATGTTGTCAGGAGGACCAGTCTTTAGAAAAAAACACAAATGCATGGGAAAAAGGAGGGTAAGACCTTCAAGGAGACAGAATGGCAGAGACAGCAAGGATGGGCTGGACTGTCAGAAGGCCAGCATGGGGCATGAACGAGAGCCTACTGGACAGTACCCAGCAACAGGCATTGTTATTACCTTTGTACAGTACCTAACAGGAATAGCTATTACCTTGGATCCATCCATACCTAATGCCCATGAAAGAAGCAGTCACAAGACCAAATAACCCATTTCACTTTGTAAATCTGCAAAATATTCACTTGAAAATGTTAAAATGAAAAGATAATACTTTGAGCACTAAGGTGCCTTGAGCCAAGTCACCGTATTTTTAACAGCCTTATACAAGTAAAAGGTGAATGAATAAAGACAAAGAAATGAGAAAGTGCAATTGTCTAGTTGGTTAAGACTGATGTAGGAGAGAGGAATGTTGTGGGACTTGACAAACATGATTCAAATTCCCTGAGAATTTAGTTACAACCACTCCCCTTTACTTAGCTTACAGGAGATGGAGAATTAGGGATCTACAATGAACTTACTATGGTGTGTCAAAGACACTCTCATCTATGCTACCTCTTTTACTCTTCCCATGATGCTCAATTTTAGAGAAGCATACAGGCCAGGAGAGAGTGAGTGAGAGGAGACCTAAAGCCACACAACTCCTAAGTGCTGCTAAGAGGTATGAATCCTCCCTCATCTCCAAGGCGGTTACAAGGCCACATCCCAAACCGCCCAGAGATAAGGGTACCTGAGTTGTAAAGAAGGCGGGGCGGGGAAAGATAGGAAGCAAAAGGTGCCTGGACCATTGGTAGTTCCTAGGATGCATCAAGCCGGGAAGACTGCGGGGAAGCAACACGACTGCTCCACCCGACCAAGCACGCGCGTGGTGGAAACTGAGGATCCGCCAGGGTCGCAGACAGGGTCAGAGGGCGCAGGGTGCGAAGAAACGCTGCGCCGGGATCCGCTAGGGCCAAGAGCCAGGTCACTCCGTACCCTTGATAATGAGGTGCGTTGGCGAGCCTGCGATCCCCAACGAGTCTCTCTTCTTGACGCCACCACCCGGGGCGGCTTCACATCCCACGGGGGTCTCTGTACCTCCGCCACTCATCCCGGCTGGCTCCGCCCACCGCGGCCACACTGCGCCTGCGCAGAGGCTGCGCGGACACGCTCTCCAGGAAGGTTCGTTGCGCGTCATCACAAGGCGTCCGGGTTTCTGAGTTCGCATGGATGGAGTTTCCAGAAAGATGTATTTAAAGAAGCCACGGTTATGCAATCTACAAAGTTGATATTGTCTTGCTGAATTAGGTCATATGCTGACCAGAGAACAGTTAGAGATGAACTCCTGTTTTAACTCTTATGGTTTAGACATACTGGGGGCTGAAGGTAAGGTGAGCTTGCTAAATAGTAATAATTGTTAAGTAGGTGCCATTGAGTACGACTTATAAGGACCCTAGGAACAACAGATCAGAACCTTGCGCCACCCTGCAATCTTTGCCATGGTCGAACCCAGTGTTAAAGTCACTCATTCAATCCATTTTAATGAAGATCTTTTTTACCGACTATCTATCTTTCCCAGCATGACGTCTTTTTTCAAGGATTGGTTCCACCTGACAATATGCTTAAATACATGAGACGAAGTTTCACTATCCTTGTCTTTAAGGAGACCCTGGTTACACTTCCTCAAAAACAGATTTGTTCTTTGGCAGTCCATACTCAATATTCATCACCAGCAACAATTCAAAGGCATCAATTCTTCATAGTTGTTATGTGCTGTTGAGTCGAAACCAACCCTCAGACTGTGTTTCAGAGACTGTGTATATCGTAGGGAAGGAGATTGCCTATCTTTCCCACTAACAGTAGCTAGTGGATTTGAGCCACCTGACTTTGGTACACTTTGAACTGTGGTGTTGGAAAAGTGTGCTGAAGATCCCATGCACTGCCAAAAGAACGAACAGATACGCCTTGGAGAAGGTGCTGCCAAAGTGCTCCTTAGAGGTAAAGATGAAGCTTTGTCTCACATACTTTGGGCATGTTGCTAGGAGGAATTATACCTTGGAGAGGGACATCATGCTTGGAAAGGTGGAGGGACAATGGAAAGGGGGGGTGGGGATCCAGCTAAACCAGGGGTATTGACACATTGACTGTGGCAGTGGGATTGAGTGTGGTAGTGATTGTCAGGATGGCACGAGGTAGGAGAGGGTTCAGATCAGTTGTTCATAGGGTTGTTATGAGTCAGACTCAATGACACCTAACAACAACTATCTATATTTGTGTTGTTATTAGGTGCCCTTGAGTCAAGTATGATTCATAGTGACCCTATGAATAGCAGATCTGAACAGTGTCCTATCCTGCACCATCATTATCATCTCTGACACATATAAACCCATTGCCTCACAATCAATCCATCTCATTGAGGTTCTTCCTCTCCTTCACTGACCCTTTGCTGACTTGACCCTTCACCTTTCCAAGCATGATGTCCCTTTCCAAGGAATAGCCTCTCCTAACAACATATCCAGAATATGTGAGTTGAAGCTTTACCATATTTGTCTCCAAGGAGCACTTTGCACTTTCTCTAAGACATATCTGTTTGTAATTTTGACAGTCCATGGGATATTCAGTACTCATCTCCAACTAGTAATACATTAGCTATAAGAGCTGTCAGTGGTGTAGTCTTTTGGGAATTAAGCTGCTAGTTAAAAGGCAGTTCAGATCTCTTGGCTACTATGAGGAAGGACAATGACCAAATGGCCACAGGTTTCTAAAAGAAACCTGTAAAGAATCACTATGAGCCTGAAAGGACCCCATAGTAGTGAATTAAGTAGGTGGATTTTTTTTTGTTTATTTTGTGTTGTTATTCCTTACTACAAATATTTTTAGAAGACATTATTTTGTGCATATGATTGTCACAGTAATCTATGAAGTGGTGAGAAGTTTGTTTTTCTAACAAAGGAAAAAAACAAAATTGGAGATAAAGCAACTTTCCCAAGTCACAAACTCTCTTTTCTTTGTTTGAAAAACAAAGCTGACATTTGTTTTTACAAAGCATCAACCGTTTGGTATATAGGCTGAAATAAAGTATGTGTAATTTAAGAAAGTTCTGTTTACTAGACTTTTAATTGTTGCAGTATGAGCAGATAACTGTGGGCTGCCATGTATCTAACTGCTGTAATTAGATTAACTCCATTAATCTTACTTTATGTACTCAACAAGCCCTGGAGCCTGTTCAAAATTCAGTGTGGAACTTTGCAGTGGTGTCTTTATCTCTAAAGTTCATTCGTTAGTTCTAAGAATTATCTAAATCTCTCCTTGATTTATCTAAATCTTCCTAAGAATCATCCAAATCTTTTTCTTCCAAAATTTATTCTACACAACTGGAAGAAATGTAATATGCTGCTATTACTATTGTTATCTTGACAATTTGGACAAGGCCCTGATTCCCTCCTTCTAGCTGATGAATCTCACCAGGAAGGGATTCAAGAGAGTACATAACATAGAGCTTAGCAGGAAGGTTGAAGACAAGTCAGGAATTTGAATGAAAATGTAGAGAATTTATTAAACCTAGCATGAACTGATCACCCTCTGTGAATGGAGAGGACCCTGTGGAGTTATAGGGTTCTGCTCTTTATAGGACTTAAGCAAGTATGTATAAATTAGGGGAGTGATACAGGGACCTCTGGTAACTTAGGAGTGATACAGGGATCTGGGGTGGTAAAAAGTTGTACTGTCAATCCAAAGGAACACAGTTCTAATCTACGAGCTACTCTGTGGGAAAAAAGATGAGTCTCCTTCCAAGTGATTTAATTCCTCTGAAAACCTGCTGGAGGTTCAGCTGTGAGTCAGTTCTAACTCTGTGATACACAAAACAAAAGAGGAGTGATATTCTTGCTTTGATGCTGAATATTTACCTGTCTCATGGAGAAGATAGACGAGGAGTCCAGCAGTATAATAAGATATCTTGACCCCCAATAGGATCTTCCAAGTCTCAACATGGCAGTCTTCAGGGTGATTGTAAACTGTCATTGATTTTCATGGAACCTATCGAAGTGATTTTTAGTATTATAATGACAAAAAAAGTTGCCGTTAGTCACTATACCTATTTTTCTGTGCAGGTATTACCTTGGAGAAACCCCTTGGTACAAAGTTTTCAGCTGCTGTCTGCCTCCCTTTCGAATGGGATATCTTCTGTTTCAGCTTAATGGGCTTTCTTAGTCAGTTATAGGCTGATTTTTATCTCTCTTCCTTGTTCCCTCAGTTTTGTTTTGTTTTTTCATATCCATATGTCTTGTCTCCTAACTCTATCCCTAACACTATGGAAAGCAGTTTGGTACTTCCTTAGAAAGTTGGGTATAGTACAATTAGATTCCCAAATCCCATGACTAGGTAGGTATATATGTCAAAGAAATAAAAGCTTTGAAAGGAAGATTTATGCATACATTACAGTATTATTCAGAATAGCAATGAGATGGAAACCAATGAAGTGTCCTGTCTATCAACAGTCAAATGGATAAAGGCACAGAGTGGAGTATCCAGCAGCATTGAAAAAGAATAACATGCATAAACATTGCATAATATGGATGCATCTAAAGAAATTTTGCTAAGTGAAACAAGTCAATCACAAAAGAACAAATATTGAGGTGCACAGCTATAGACATAAGCAAGTAGCCAGGACTGGAAGCTGCATTACTGAAAATTTGGCGCTTCCCAGATCTCTTTGTCTGCTCAGGTGGGTAGAACTGTCCTCTCAAAAAGCCCCAGGAAGTATATGGTTCCAAACCGTAGCAGATAGCTAGAACTGGGAGCTCACTCTCGAGAACTTAGCTCTTCCCTGAGCCTTTGTCTTCTCAAGTGAGAATAGCTGCCATCCCAACCAGCCACTTCTGGAGAGGAGATGAATGTATCCTTGGACATTAGCAAGTAGCCAGAATTGGGAGCTGCATTGCTGAAAACTTGGCACTTCCTTTAGCCTCCCCTCTGAAATGTTCCTGAGATGGGATGGGTACACCAAAAAATACTGAAATTTGGGGGCTGCACTATTGGGACATTGTAATTTTCCTGGACCTTTTCCCTGAGCAATACATCACAGGCAGTACATCTTGGACTGCCCCTCCCGACCAAAACACTACAGGACAGGACAGAGAAGGGGGCCCACCACAAAGGGAAGGACTCCAGCTTCCTAGCCCTCACAGTACAGCAAGAAACTTGCCACAGAGAACATACCATGGATGACCAGCAGCGAAGACTGCCATTGGGAAGCTCCATAGAAGTCACCACTTTAAGTCTGCACCTTATCAATAGCATCATACAGATAAGGAATTGTCATCAACCAACATAGACACCACAGAACTGGCTCAAACATGCGAAGGAGCGCTTCACATAATGTCCAGAAAGCAACAGTCAACTTCAAATGTGGCAAAAGAAAACAGGTCCTCTCCTAAAAAGCAGATCAGATTTCAGATTCAATACCTCATAGACAGGAAAGTAGAGAAATGTATTGACACAGAGTTGCATGAACTGAAGAAGTTAGAAGTTATGGAAGAGAAAATTGAAACTCAGAGACAGAGAGCCAGAAGAAACATATCAATATGGAATTACATGAATGGCTACTGAAGAAATTACAAATGGTAGAAGAAAGTATTTAAACCATAAATAAAGAGGTACAATACTTCTAAAAAATCATCACAAGACAGACAGCACAACCAACACAATTCTAAAAATGATTGGAAATGCAGTCCAGAATATAAGGACCCAAGTGATAGAATTTTCCGCATGCTGAAGGAACCAAGAAGCAGAACAGAAGAAATAGAACAAGAGTTCTAAAAGACAAAAACATCAGTGAGAATATACTAGAGGAAATAAACCAGAAAACAAAAAGAAAAGGAAGAAAACATTAGAGTCATGCGGAATAACATCAGATGGAACAATATGCATGTAAACAGAATTCCAGAGCAGGAGTGTGGGAGGAAAAGCACTGAGAAAATTGTGAAGAGTTACTGTAAGAAAACTCCCCGAATAACCTAAGTGCCCATCAACAAATGAATGGATAGAGAAGCTGTGGTATATTCACACAATGGGATACTACCCTGCACTGAAAAATAAGGTACTCATGAAATAATATTCAAAATGGGTGACCCTGAAGAA